GTAACCCATTACAAAGAGCAATGGTGTCATGAATATTCCCCCCAGCCCGTGCCCCTCCCCCCGACTTCTCCATCAAGATCAATAACACAATCATCAGTCCCTCCCCTCATGCCAGGGTACTCGGTGTCATCCTAGACTCCCATCTGTCCTTTCACCCCCAAATCCAATCACTGTCCAAATCATGTAGACTTCACCTCCGCAACATCTCCAACCTTCGCCACACCTCCTACTCTCTAGCTCCCTTGTCTCCTCCTCCCATGCTCATCTCCAGGACTTCTCCAGAGCTTCCCCCATCCTCTGGAACTCTCTACCCCAATCTATCAGACTATCGCCTACTCTGCTCACTTTTAGGTGATCTCTGAAAACCAATCTGTGCAGGGAAGTCTATCCTGCCCTCCGCTAATAATGGAATCTTCTACTCCTCCTACCAGTCCACCCCCCACAGTTATTGCCTTTTGTACCACTAGCCCCTCCCTCCTAGATTGTAAGCTCCCAGGATCAGCCCCTCCCTCTTAGATAAGCTCCTAGGATCAGCCCCTCCCTCCTAGATTGTAAGCTCCCAATCAGCCCCTCCCTCTTAGATTGTAAGCTCCCAGGATCAGCCCCTCCCCCAGGATCAGCTCCCTAGATTGTAAGCTCCCAGGATCAGCCCCCCCTCCTAGATTGTAAGCTCCCAGGATCAGCCCCCCCCCCCTCCTAGATTGTAAGCTCCCAGGATCAGCCCCAGGATCCCTCTCTTAGATTGTAAGCTCCCAGGATCAGGCTCCTCCCTCTTAGATTGTAAGCTCCCAGGATCAGGCCCTCCCTCTTAGATTGTAAGCTCCCAGGATCAGGCCCCTCCCTCTTAGATTGTAAGCTCCCAGGATCAGCCACTCAATCTTAGAGTGTAAGCTCCCAGGATCAGGCCCTCCCTCTTAGATTGTAAGCTCCCAGGATCAGGCCCCTCCCTCTTAGATTGTAAACTTCCAGGATGAGGCCCTCCCTCTTAGATTGTAAGCTCCCAGGATCAGCTCTTCCCTCTTAGAGTGTAAGCTCCCAGGATCAGCTCTTCCCTCTTAGAGTGTAAGCTCCCAGGATCAGCTCTTCCCTCTTAGAGTGTAAGCTCCCAGGATCAGCTCTTCCCTCTTAGATTGTAAGCTCCCAGGATCAGACCCCTCCTACCCCTCTTGTATTGATCTGTATTGGTGCCACTGTTGGCGCCATAAATCCTGTATAGTAATAATGAATGACAGCCGTTGTTTACTACTGAACATATGATCGCGGTGACTGGTCACATGTATGTAACTCGTTGATATGTGGAGAATATTTTTCACATCCAGATAAGGGTAACCAATACCACATATGGGACTACTTGAGCGGAGCATTGTGTTCACATCTTAGAATGCTCATGTACTTGTAAGAAGACTGGCCCATTCAAGCCTCCAAGGACACGGGAGGGACGTCATGACGCTAATGGTGGTCAGATTGACTTGACCAAACCAGTAGGGGTTCAATTTGTCACACACGAACTTCAACTGCACCAGCTTCCAGGGCATGGTGAGTGGATGTGTCAATCAGTCTGTAAGTGTCAGGGTTCTGTCCTCAGCAGAGGTGTTAGGAGACCTGGCACCCCTGCCAGTACCTTGCATGGCCGCAGAAGTTCACATCGGCTCAAACGGCCTTTATAAGGAAGCCCTGCACCACTCTCAGGTGTTGGTAGATCTCTGGCTCCCCAGTACCTTGTTCCTGTTCCTGTGCTACTGTGACCTGTGATTTCCTGATACCGACTTGGCTTGCTCCTGGACCTGTCTATTCTGCGAAAACCCTGACCTGACCTCAGCTTGGCTAACGAATATTCTCTCTCGCTCCTCTGTGTATGACCTTGGCTATCCCATCTGACTACGTCTGCTCTGATCTCCACCCGGTACCGGACCTTGGCTTTGAACCAGCTATCCAGTAATCCTCTGTTCCCCGGAAGGCCTTGCATACCTCGCACAGGTGCCACCAGTGCATCAGCTGTGCTCCTGGGTGGACCACCAACGAGCACTCCTACAGGCAACCTGTGCCACTTTTTGGCCTGACTCCCGCTGTCCCACTGTCAGGGGAGTCTGGAACTTAGCCGCAAGGGAAGCCCTCTCTCCATTGGCCTCCATCACCAGGTACGTGACAGTAAGAGGTGGAGACCGTGATTGCCTCCTCCAATGCTGAGAGGCTTTCTGGATCTATACACTTGGCACCATATAACCAAGTGGTCTGAATACAAATTTAAGAAGAAAAAAAAAATTCTTGACTAGGGTAACCCCATATGTCTCCAAGTCCTTCTACATCTCATCATAGCTACCCTTCCCAACTTATACTAATGAAGAAATGACCAAAGACCAGATCTGGAGGAAATTGGCCAACCTTGCCGTTTATTAACAAATAAAACCCAAATAACATTCCTTAAAACAGGATCATTTCTTTGTGAGGGGCGAACATTCAACATCAGCCGGGGAGCAAATATGCATTTCCTTCTCTGTATAATGAGATAGGAAGGAAGGGGAGCATTGAAGTTCAGTACCATGGAAGGCACCTCTCCCCCTTATTGTTATTTTTCTTTGTTTTTTTTTTTTTTTTTTGGTACTTTCTTTTATTTTGATTTTATTTTAACATTTTTATCTATTTTTATTTCCATTCTTACTTATTTTTTCATTTTTTTTTTTTTTTTTTTTTTTTATATATATATATATATTTTCTTTTTTTTTTTCTCTTCTTTTTTTTCTTTTTTTCCATTTTCAGTCTTTTTGTTTACTTTTTTCTCATTTTCATTTTTGTCTTTTTTTTTTTTTTTTTTCAATATTTTTTTTTTTTCCTCTTTTTTTTTTTCTTCTTTTATATATATTTTTTTTTCATATTTTTTATTTTGTTCTGTTTTTATTGTTTTCTTTCCTTCAGTCTTTCATTGTTTGATTTTTTCTCATTTTTATAATTTTTTTTTTCTTTTTTCATTTCTTTTTTTTTCTTTTTTTTAACTCTTCAGTTTTTTATTGTTTACTTTTTTCTCATTTTTGTCTTTTTTTTCAGTTTTTTTCAATATTTTTTTTTTTTTTTCCTTTTTTTTTCTTCTAATATATATATATATATATATATTTTTTTTTTTTTTTTTTTTTTTTTTCATTTTTTTTTTTCTTTTTTCTTCTCTCTCTTTTTTTATTTTTTCTTTCTTTCTTTTTATTTTAGGCTCGTAATGATGAGAGGTTTAGACTGCACAGAAAATGAATACTTTGAGCAGCAAAATCACCCAAAAATGTAATCTGCAGCCAGGGGCAGACTGACAACTCATGGGGCCCCCGGGCAATAGGGAATCATGGGGCCCCTGTGTCCTTGCCCAAACTCAAAAAAGCTTATGAAAAAGCTACCAGGGGCATCTCATGGGGCCCCCTACTGACCCATTTCCAAATGATCAGTCCGCCCCTGTCTGCAGCATTCACATTGGTAATTGTTGCTGATACAGGTTCACATGGATGGGGATAGACAAACTCTGTTGTCCCCAGCATCACTAAATGTACGTTTGTTTGGTAGTTGCGTAGGGCACATCTAGTGTTTAAAGCAGGGGTAGGCAACCTGCGGCTCTCCAGTTGTGGAACGTATGCATTGCACGCATTTAGGCACTTGCATCATGAGTGTTTAACAGCTGGAGAGCCGCAGTTGACCCCTGGTTTAAAGTGAAGGTCCGGTCAAAATTTTTAAAAAATAAAAGACAGCAGCTACAAAAACTGACTTTAAAAAACAAGACACTTGCCTCTCTCACATGACAGCACCCAAAATAATTACTATGGAAAGAAACTTGGATACATATTATAGTAATAAATGAATGAGGAAATCAAGATGAGCGGTGAGTGACAACAACGATTGTAAGTATTGGGGTCCCTTGGTGACCCCTGAGATTGGGACTACTTTCTATATGACAAGATACCACTCGGTCGTTATATATTTGATGTTTTCACCTTGCAGATATTATATATATGTATCTACTCCTGAAGAAGGGAACTAAGAGCACGAAACGCGTCGAGGTTTGGAAATTGTGCTGTAATTATGTATCGACATTTGGATTGTCTATCCAATGATGTATGAAATGCATTAAGCGCTTCCCATCCGGCCCATGTACATAAACGGCCGGATGGGAGCGCTGCCGAAGCGGGTGGCCATTTATAAACGGCCTCCGCATTCACTGCCTGTGCGCGCTCCCTGGGAGCACCGATCGTTGTACAGGACCTCTGTGTGAGGGCCCGATCATGTGATCACACATAGTAGTAAGTTTACTACGTGTGAAATCTGTGAATGATCACAGAGATCACACGGTACAGGGCCATTCACAACAGCCTTGTACCATGTGACATGCTGTGACCAATCACGGCTCTCACAGTATTTCTCAATGTCTGCAGGAATGCAGCCAGAGAGAAGGAGAAATGATTCCTCTTAAAGCAATCGGTGTAAAAAAAAAAATACAATCTTCATCACCCCCCCACAAGTAAGTACAGTGTCACCATGGTGACCCTACTGCTAGGGTGACAGTATGTTAAAAAAAAACATAAATAACAAAATAAAAAAAATTAAAATAAAAATATAAAAAAAGTTTTTTGAAAACTTATAATTTTTGGTTATAAACAAATTTGGGTTGTTGTTTTTTTTACTAAAAAGATAGCTGAATACATTTTGGCCGAGATTTATAAAGAAAGATTATTTATTTGCAAAACTTTATAACAAAAACAATTTTTTTTTTTTATTTTTGGACTTTTTCATTTATATAGCAAAAAATAAAAATCTCAGCGGTGAATAAATGCCACCAAAATAAAGTTTTATCTGTTTCAAAAAAATGCTAAAGAATTCATATGGGTACAGTGTTGCATGACCGCGCAATTGTCATTCAAAGTGTGATAGGGCTGAAAGCTGAAAATTGGCCTGGACAGGAAGGGGGGAAAGTGTCCGGACTGGAAGGGGGGGAAAGTGTCCGGACTGGAAGGGGGGAAAGTGTCCGGACTGGAAGGGTGGGAAAGTGTCCGGACTGGAAGGGGGGGAAAGTGTCCGGACTGGAAGGGGGGAAAGTGTCCGGACTGGAAGGGTGGGAAAGTGTCCGGACTGGAAGGGGGGGAAAGTGTCCGGACAGGAAGGGGGGAAAGTGTCCGGACTGGAAGGGGGGGAAAGTGTCCGGACTGGAAGGGGGGGAAAGTGTCCGGACAGGAAGGGGGGAAAGTGTCCGGACTGGAAGGGGGGGAAAGTGTCCGGACTGGAAGGGGGGAAAGTGTCCGGACTGGAAGGGTGGGAAAGTGTATGGACTGGAAGGGGGGGAAAGTGTCCGGACTGGAAGGGGGGAAAGTGTCCGGACTGGAAGAGGGTGAAAGTGTCCGGACTGGAAGGGGGGGAAAGTGTCCAGACTGGAAGGGGGTGAAAGTGTCCGGACTGGAAGGGGTGAAAGTGTCCGGACTGGAAGGGGGGGAAAGTGTCCGGACTGGAAGGGGGGGGAAAGTGTCCGGACTGGAAGGGGGGGAAAGTGTCCGGACTGGAAGGGGGGAAAGTGTGCGGACTGGAAAAGGGGGTGAAAGTGTCAGGACTGGAAGGGGGGAAAGTGTCCAGACTGGAACGGGGGAAAGTGTCCGGACTGGAAGGGGGGAAAGTGTCCAGACTGGAAGGGGGGGAAAGTGTCTGGACTGGAAGAGGGTGAAAGAGTCCGGACTGGAAGGGGGTGAAAGTGTCCGGACTGGAAGGGGGGAAAGTGTCCGGACTGGAAGGGGGGGAAAGTGTCCGGACTGGAAGGGGGGGAAAGTGTCCGGACTGGAAGAGGGGAAAGTGTCCGGACTGGAAGGGGGGAAAGCGTCCAGACTGGAAGGGGGGAAAAGTGTCCAGACTGGAAGGGGAGGAAAGTGTCCGGACTGGAAGGGGGTGAAAGTGTCCGGACTGGAAGGGGGGAAAGTGTCCGGACTGGAAGGGGGTGAAAGTGTCCGGACTGGAAGGGTGTGAAAGTATCCGGACTGGAAGGGGGTGAAAGTGTCTGGACTGGAAGGGGGAAAGTGTCTGGACTGGAAGGGGGGGGGGGAAGTGTCCGGACTGGAAGGGGTTATTATGTATTTATTACAAATCGGCTTGTTACCATTGTATCCTCTTTTTGTAAGCAATGAGAAGTTTATTCATTTATGAAAAATTGGAATGTTGGAAAGTAGTTATTGGTTGGCCGTGTGTGTTGTGTCTTGTTATGTTCACATGACTGTCATATGCCTTTAAGAGTTTTCTATATCTTGTCTCTGCTCCTCCCTTTCCTTTGGTTTAGCTAATTCTGCATAGATAGCCCCTCCCCCTTTCCCAGGAATGCATTGCAGGAAGCCTCATGGCAAGAAGCAGAAACATTATGAACTTTTGACTTATGGAATTTCATTGTTTTAAGATTCTCTCAGTTTATGGAATAAACTTCACAAGATCTACAAGATGTCATTCTCATTGAGTCACTGACTGTGGTGTCCACCAGAGGTCGGAGTTATCGCTATCTCATCACAACTGTAAGTTACAGAGATCACACTATCAATGCTGAGATTGGAGACACAGAACATTTACTGTCCCAGGACATATAAATTGGTGTATGGACCGTCCCGAGGCACCCTTTGAAATGATGGACCATTCAGAGGCACCCTTTCAAATGATGGACCGTCCCGAGGCACCCTTTCAAAAGATGGACCGTCCCGAGGCACCCTTTCAAAAGATGGACCGTCCCGAGGCACCCTTTCAAATGATGGACCGTCCCGAGGCACCCTTTCAAAAGATGGACCGTCCCGAGGCACCCTTTCAAAAGATGGACCGTCCCGAGGCACCCTTTCAAATGATGGACCGTCCCGAGGCACCCTTTCAAAAGATGGACCGTCCCGAGGCACTCTTTCAAATGATGGACCGTCCCGAGGAACCCTTTCAAATGATGGACCGTCCCAAGGCACCCTTTTAAATGATGGACCGTCCTGAGGCACCCTTTTTAAATGATGGACCGTCCCGAGGCACCCTTTTTAAATGATGGACCGTCCCAAGGCACCCTTTTAAATGATGGACAGTACCGAGGCACCCTTTCAAATGATGGACCGTCCCGAGGCACCCTTTCAAAAGACGGACCGTCCCGTGGCACCCTTTCAAATGATGGACCGTCCCGAGGCACCCTTTCAAATGATGGACCATCCCGAAGCACCCTTTCAAATGATGGACCGTCCCGAGGCACCCTTTCAAATGATGGACCGTCCCGAGGCACCCTTTCAAATGATGGACCGTCCCGAGGCACCCTTTCAAATGATGGACCGTCCCGAGGCACACCATTCTAAAATGTGAAAAACTATTATAATAGGTTTTTATAACGCAGCAACATCCACACATATAGGACACCCAACATTAGAGGGGATTTATCCTTCCAAAGCAAATACACTTTTGCACCCTGGTACTGACTAGTATTCTCATGTTTCTCTTCTCCCTCAGTTGCACCCTGGTACTGACTAGTATTCTCATGTTTCTCTTCTCCCTCAGTTGCACCCTGGTACTGACTAGTATTCCCATGTTTCTCTTGTCAATCAGTTTTTCTCCATCACTGAGCTAATGTGACCCCAGTGCTGACGAAGAGAGGGCAGGGGAGGGCCAAAATAGGATGCTGTGCAGGCAACCAACATCCTCCTTATCATCTGATGATGTCATTGGTTGTCAGGACGCCGGCGGCTAGAAGGTCATAATGGCGCACAATGAAAACCTACGGCTTTGTGTAACTAAAAGGCCGGCATGTTCCGCCCGTTGGCTCGTATACAAGTTTTGGACAATTTTTAGACATTTTGCCAAGGCATCCCTGAAGAAACCTCAAGGCACCCCTGAAGAAACCTTATGGCACCCCTGAAGAAACCTCAAGGCACCTCTGAAGAAACCTCAAAACACCTCTGAAGAAACCTCATGGCACCCCTAAAGAAACCTCAAGGCACCCCTGAAGAAACCTCAAGGCACCCCTGAAGAAACCTCAAGGCACCCCTGAAGAAACCTCAAGGCACCCCAGGTCGAGGAAGGCTGTACTAAGGGATGGAGGCACATCACTTGGTGCATCAGGTCACATTCTAATTTAGTCATTCTCAGGTTTTTATTGCCTTTCGGGTCCTGCCGAAATGTCCTTTTTTCTGATGGAGTCTCCAAGGCAAGAAACACAGGGAAATGTCCCCATGGGCACCCAGCGATATAAAACCCACCATTCTCCACCCTACCTTGAACAATATGTATACGGTATATATATATATAGTATATGGATCGTCAATTTGCTCCCCAAGTTGTATCAGTCTTTTTCCTCTTCATACATCCTATTACGAGGGGAATAATGCGATTGGTGGATTATGTTTTCCTTAAAACGTCATATTATGGAAATTGTGTGAAAGTGTAGATGGTGAATACAATACACTGCTCTGACCATGATGGGAAAGGGGGGTTGAGGAACTGTTCCAGGATGAATGTACCTACCTAAATACCTACCTAAGAGACACAAGCCACTCCTCTCATCCCATGCTGCGGGTCACAATAGTTAGGTCAGGCACTGGAACTCTAAAATAGCCATTGAGCGGATATCAATCCACCTGGTGGTACTCAGTGCTGGTGCCTATAAGGGGAACATCGATGTGTAGGCACTACTTTCTCCCCTGCAGGTGCTGCATTGCAGTTGGAGAGGAAGTCAAGAGGAACATGGCTCCTCTATGGATTCCTGGGTCACTGGGGAAACTATACAATTGGATGCTGCTGCCCCATGTGACTTTAGCAGCCATCTCGAGTCAGGCATAACCTATTTAAGTCCCTGGCTCTCAGGCTTGGCATGAATTTTGCAGTGGGGAGAGTAGGGATAGGTACCCCACCTGGAAGGGACAGAGCTAGTAGCAGAGAAAGGTTCCTGATGAGGAGGGAAAGCATAGAGCTTGCCTGCGCATGCGATGGTCAGGCCACGGTCTGCCCCTTCTAGTTGTCAGGTTGTCAGCTCGGCTGGAATCTGCTGTCTACATGTTGGTGGACCTGTGAGTGTTCCCGGTTGGGTTGTCTTCCCACTCAGCTTATGGTGAACTGTCTGTTCATTATTCCAATACACGTTCTTTCCTCACACTACAACTGTGTGCGTTATTGCCCCCACACCACACCTACAGGTGCCACCACCGAGCAGATCTGAGAATCTCTTATGAACATCGGATGATGGCACCTAGGGGTTGACTTACTACAACTGGAGAGTGCACGATCTGGTGCAGCTCTGCATGGGAGCCAATCAGCTTCTAACTTCAGTTTGTTCAATTAGGCTTCAGCAATAAAACCTGGAAGCTGATTGGTTTCTATGCAGAGCCGCACCAGATTTTGCACTCTCTGGTTTTAGTAAATCAACCCCTATATGTCATTGATTTTCATCATTAAAGTGTATGTATAGACGATGTTCGTAGATTTGGATGGAGTAAGTGAGGGTTAGAACCCCACCGAGTTATTTTCTTCTGACTTCCTGTCTTACATTTCTGAAACACAACAGGTAGTTAGAGCAAAGTTAGTGATGGGATTCCCTCTCTTAGCCAGTTGTCCCCGTTACAAGTGCCCCCCTGTGAGATGTCCCCCCTCCTCTTGTTCTGGGGACAACTCTAACATTTTGGGTTTCCCCGTCGCTTTCTTTTTTGTTGACAATCATCACCAATACAAACAAAGGGGGTGAATCTTCCCAATGGGAACACAGATAGGGATAAAACTGTCCAAATTTGTAGACTTCACCTCCGCAACATCTCCGACCTCCGCAACATCTCCAACCACTGCAACATCTCCGACCTTCGCAACATCTCCGACCTTCGCAACATCTCCAACCTCCGCAACATCTCCAACCTCCGCAACATCTCCAAGATATGCCCGTTCCTAACATTTGAAATTATTAAGCAACTTATTCCCTCCCTGGTTATCTCTCGCCTTGACTATTGTAACTCCCTCCTCATTGGCCGACCTCATCGCAGGCTATCCCTCTCCCAGTCTCTCATGAATGCTGCTTCCAGACTCATCCACCTTACTAACCATTCATTCCATATCTGCCACCCCTCTCTGCCAATCCCTCCACTGGCCTCCATTCCGTGTCCTCCACCCCTCTCGGTCAATCCCTCCACTGGCCTCCACTCAATGTCCTCCACCCCTCTCTGCCAATCCCTCCACTAGCCTCCACTCAATGTCCTCCACCCCTCTCTGCCAATCCCCTCCACTAGCCTCCACTCAGTGTCCTCCACCCCTCTCTGCCAATCCCTCCACTGGCCTCCACTCAATGTCCTCCACCCCTCTCTGCCAATCCCTCCACTGGCCTCCACTCAGTGTTCTCCATCTCTCTCTGCCAATCCCTCCACTGGCCTCCATTCAGTGTCCTCCACCCCTCTCTGCCAATTTCTCCACTGGCCTCCATTCAATGTACTCCACCCCTCTCTGTCAATCCCTCCACTGGCCTCCACTCAGTGTCCTCCATCCCTCTCTGCCAATCC